AACAAGAGGTATAAACAAAAGGAACTGAGGAATTATATCAAAGCAAAGAAAATCAAATTGGCTGGAATAATTGAAACAAGAGTTAAAGAGCATAAATTTCAAGCAATCAGTAGAAATATTATACCAAGATGGGAAGCTTTGAATAACTACCAATATGCATCTAATGGGAGAATTTGGATTGTTTGGGATCCTAACACTTACTCCATCAGTTCCAATTTATGTGAACCTGTTTGACTGGGCACGAAGTTTAAAAAAATAAAGACTTTTAGAATTTATGGTTCTAAACAAGTCAAAAAGGAGCCTAGCGTATTTGTGTGGTTATAAAGCTTCTCGTTAAGGGTAAAATTGTAAGTTTAAGATAAGTTATTTCCAAATTTAGAAAGGGATCATTCTTTTTGGAACAGACCAAAAAGGAAATAGGTTCACATAAATTGGAACGAAGGGCGTATATAGTTAAGCACCTCAGGTCAGACAGTCAGTTCATTCATTGTCATGTTAAAGACATTAAGAGCTTGGTGGACTGTTTTCTAATTGTGATCTATGGATTTAACACTATTGACCAAAGGAAACCTTTGTGGAGTTCATTACAAGAAGTAGCTCAGGGTATCTCTAAGCCTTGACTTATTAGTGGAGATTTTAATGATGTGCTAACTTCAAATAATAGAATAATGGGTAATCCTGTGACATATGCTAAAACACAAGACTTTTCAGAGTTTGTATCTGAGCTAATGGTGGATGAATTACCATGGAAATGAGCATATTATACATTGACCAATATTCAACTGGGGACAGATAGGATATGTTGTTGACTGGATAGAAGCTTGGGCAATTTTGAATGGATGATGCAATGGGGGTAGTGTTATCACTGAGTATGATGTGCCAAATATTTTTGACCACTTTCCAATGTTACTCAATTTTCAATAGAGATAAAGGAATATGAAAATCCCTTTCAGGTTCTTCAATGTATGGACTGAACATACATCTTTTTTGACATAGTTACCATAATTTGGGATCAACCTCAGAAGGGTTATAAAATACAAGATGTGTGGAACAAGCTGAAAGCATTGAAGGTGTCGTTAAGACAACTAAATAAGGAGGAATTTAAGGGTATTACCAGAAAAATTGAGAATGCAATAATAGATCTATAACAAATCCAGCAACAGATAATCAATCAGTGCACAAATGATCTATTAAAGCTGAAAAAAGAAACCATTTTGAATATAGAAAAATGGTCTTTCATTGAAGAGAGTGCAATAAAATAGAAGGCAAGAGCAACCTGGATCAAACTTGGCGATGCTAATACCAAGTACTTCTCTGCAATGGTGAATGAGAGACAAAACAAAAAGCAAATAGTGAAACTTAATTCCTTGACTGGACAAACTCTATCTGATCCTGAGTACATTAAAATGGAGATTCTAGATTTCTATAAGGGGTTGATGGGAACATTTTCCCATGCACTACCAGGAGTAGACAAACTTACAATGAGGAATGGCCCTAAATTGAATCAGCTCCATAGAACAATATTATGTGAACTAGTGACTGAGGAAGAGATTACTGAAGTTGTAGCATCCATTGGTGATAATAAAGCACCAAGTATTGATGGATATAATGCTTTCTTTTACAAGAAAGTTTGGCACATAGTGAAGAAAGAGATAAGTGATGTAGTTATAGATTTCTTCATATCTAGGAAGATGTATGCTCCTATCAACTGCAATGATTACTTTGGTTCTTAAGGTTTCAAATCCTAGCACAGTGAAAGAATACAGACCAATTGCCTGTTGTTCAGTACTATATAAGATCATCTCTAAGGTGTTGGCTACTAGGCTACAGAAGGTTATATCTCATGTGACTTCTGAAGCACAAATAGGATTTATCCTAAGAAGAAAAATTATTGATAATATTATATTGGCACATGAATTAGTCAAAGGGTATACCAGGAAGAACATTTCAGATAAAGTCATGATTAAAATTGATTTGCAGAAGGCATATGATTCTATTGAGTGGGTCTTCTTGGAGAAGGTTATGGAGGAGCTAGGTTTTCCAGATAGATACATTTATTGGATCATGCAATGTGTCAAAATAGTCAGCTCTACTATAATGGTAAATGGGGAAATCGTTGTGCCTTTCTCTGTTGCCAAAGGTTAAGGCAAGGTGACCCCATTTCCCTTTTCCTCTTTGCCATTTCTATGGAGCTCCTGAGTAGGAATTTGAATGACCTTAAACATGACAAAAAGTTCAAGTATCATCCAAGATGTGCAAGACTGGGGATAACACATTTAAGCTTTGCTGATGACCTTCTGTTGTTTGTAAGAGGGTATGAAAGTTCAGTAACAACATTACAAAGCTATTTTAAATAGTTTGCCAGTGCATCAGGACTATAGGCCAATATGAGTAAAAGTTCTGTATATTTTGGAGGATTTCCCCAGCCTATTAGAGATAGAATTGTCTCTAAATTGGAGTTTGTGTATGTGGAACTACCTTTCAAGTACTTGGGTATTCCCTTGTCAACAAAGAAACTAAGTTTGATCCAGTGGAAACCTCTTATTGATAGAATCATAACTAGAGTCACCTCAGGGACAACAAAAAAGCTCTCATATGTTGTGAGAGCTCAACTAGTCCAAACTGTTCTATTTGGTATGCAATCCTAATGGGCACAAATGTTTATATTACCTGCAAAGATGTTGCAAATCGTAGAAGAACACTGCAAAAGTTTTTTGTGGTCAGGAACTAAATTGATCACCAAGAAGACCTTGATCGCATGGGACAAGGTATGCATCCCCAAAGCAGGAGGAGGGTTGAACTTGACAAACTTGAAATGCTGGAACAAAGTTGCACTAGCAAAATCTTACTAGGATCTATCTCGCAAAAAGGATAACTTATGGATCAGATGGGTTCATGAATACTATATAAATGGTAGACAGATGAATGAAATACCTATTCCTCAACAAGTTTGTTGGATGATAAGGCAAGTCATCAACAATAAGGAGATAGTGAACCAGCTTCACTGTGAGTTTAATCTAAGAAAAAACATGATCAGACAAATATACTTACAGCTGCTAGGAGATTATCCAAAGGTGCCATGGAAGTGTCTGATGTTTCAAAATGGCGCACGACCAAAATCAAGATTCACGTTGTGGCTAATGTTGCATGGAAAGTTACTGACTACAGATAGGCTACTCAAGTGAGGATTAGTACTAGATCCAAGTTGCAGTCTATGTCATAACCATCAAGAATCAAGAGATCACATCTTTGTGGAATGTAAATTTGCAGAGAAGATATAGACAACAATTCTTGACTAGATGAAAGGAGCCAATTTTCAGTGGACCAATTGAGAATCACATCTATCGTGGGCAATTAAAAATGCTAAGGGAAGAAGCCAGCTAACCCGAATTTCTAAAATAATATACACTGAGTGTATTAATGCAATATGGATGGAGAGAAACATAAGAATGTTTAGAAGAGAGCCACTGCCTGACAAAGCATCAAACGAGAGATTGTATACATTTGCAACATCAGAGCTTCAGAAGGAATCAGGAACTTAGTCCAAAGTTTTATGATGTAATTGCATTCTGTATTAGTGTTTCCTTAAAGTAGCAGAGCTTAGGGAGTACTTTTAGATATGAGGCTTTAGAGATCTTTTTAGTTTTCCTTTGATTAGCCAACTGGTCTACAGTGCTAAAGTTTTGTATTGTTTCAAAACCTCAGGTGATAAATAAAATTATTAGTTACCAAAAAAATATTGAAGAAGACAAAGTGAGTCTTTTTGATTTGATTTTATTCGACTAAATTGGTGATTGTGAATTATTTGTGTGGTATTTGGTTGGTATTGGAGCAAATTTGGGGTGATTTGATTGAAATTAAAGGTGCAAATTGAAAGAGCACCATATTAAAACAACCCAGAAAAAATATGTCAATCTGGTTGACTTCGATGAACAACTTAACAAATAGATAAACAAAATATAACATCAACTCTACAGACCTGGTAGAGAAATTCCTGCTTGACAGAAGTATGACAATCCGGTAGACTTCAATGAACAACTTAATAAATCGGTAGAGTAATAATAGCATCAACTATACTGGATTGGCAGAGAAATCTTCAAGAGCAAAGGTATGACAATCCGGTAGACTTCGATGAACAATTTAATGTGGTAGAGAAACCCCTAAAAAGTTTGTGCGGATCTAAGGTCATTTTCTAAATATCGCCAATTTTGGTGACATTCCGCTAAGACCACTCGAAAAATCCCTTTTGTGTCAAGCCCCCTATTTTTTAAATAGCAATCCTAGAACTAATAATTTGTACACTTCATCTAAATTCGAATTGCATGGCCTACGTAGCCACTTTTAAGTATGTTGTTGGACTAGAACCCGAAACTTTTGGTGGAAATGACACTACGTAGCCACTTTTAAGTATGTTGTTTAAAATATATCAACAGTTTACAATGTATTTAAAGATTAGCCAATTTCGCTCAAACTTCTGGACACGACGTCCTAAAATTTAAACCTCAAAGTTCAAACTTCAAGACATCGTGTCCCGAAGTTCAAAAATTGTATCGAGAAGTTCGAATAGTATGTCGTGGATTTTAAATTAGTAGTTCAGCAATTCAAGACACATAGTCCTGAATTTCAAATTATCCGTTCAAAAATTCAGGACTTAGAGTCCTGAATTTTTAAATTCATGATACTTAGTCCTAAAGTTTGGGTGAATTGACTAGTATTTAAATACATTATAAATTGTGAATATATTTTAAATAACGGGCTTAAAAATGATTATTGTTGGACTTCGCCCAAACTTTTGTTTAAGAATAACAATTATCTTCCTACACAGCTCTCTATGGTTGACATATATTTGTATATGATCAAAATTCCATGTAGTCTATCACGTGTTACCTTTTGATGGTGAAGCTGCATCGACCTTGATAGTTTCTAGTGTAGATACCTTAATCTCATACAATGTGTTTCCTCTTAGAATTTCATTCTTCCTATAATTAACACTCAACCCCCCCACCCCCACCCCCACCCCCTTTTCGCTACTCTGTTTTTCATCATTATCTATCATCAAACATCATCATCCTTTATTTTTCCATTGTATATATTTAAACACGCACACACACACACTGAACTTGGTGTTGTATGTGTAAATATTCAACGCAGAATTTGTGAAGAAGGAGAAGATAAAAGGGGAAGTAATTAAAAAGAAAAGAAAAGAAAAGAAAAGATCAATTAAACTCCACCGCCTTAGGTACCCAAGAATTAATTTTTCTATTTTTTTGGTTGAAAAGTGATTATGGGTCGTGTAATTTTCATCTTTTTGCACTTTTTAATCATCTGGGTAAAGGCTATTTATCCGACAGAAATTGCATACTTTGTGCTTTTGCCTATTGCTTTAAGCTGATCACCTCCTTCAAATTGCAGAAACTATGTATGTATGATGTATGTGTGTGTGTGTGTGTATGTATTTGCTTAAATCACTTGGACTTTTTCTGGGGTGTCTTTTTTTTTTTTTTTGGAGGCTTTTTGGTCGAAAGAGTGCATTTTTTGTTGTTGCTAATTTTAGTGTTTTAACGTTGATATGTTGTTCTACTGTAATGGATTAAAGTTATATACAGTGACTTTTTAGAGATTCTTTTACATGTATCAGTGAAATTTAACCTATTATAGCATGTTAGTTACCTATAATTACCTTAAAGAACCTGATCCTATAAATATCTTTATACCGTCACTCAAGCGGAGCTAGAGTGCCGGGAGCGGGTTTCCTAGTTTTGGTTCGAACCTCGTATTTGTCTTAAAAATCCCAATAACTTAAAACGATTAGAATCTCGAACCCATAAGCTTGAAATCCTGACTCCGCCTCTGCCCCGTCAGTGCGCATTACATAAACTCACTCTATTGCTATAAGCATGTACTGTCTGTTTGTTCTACTAAATGATCAACATATAACACTATGATGACTTCGTTTGGGAGGTTCTCCTTGTTACTGGTTAATTTGTTGTGACATATTTTGTAATTCCATAACTAGAGAAGTCCAAAATTTTGTTTCCATGGATTAATCAATGAGTGGATTATATCCACAACTTGTGCTATTTATACAAGGATAAATTGGCCTTATGAGTCCTCTATATCTGTTTTGCTTGTTAGAAATTTTTATCCAAATTTTTTGTTTAGATGGCTGAAAAAAGTAGATCTGTTGATGTTTGGTGCACTTGAGAATGATTATGGGTTGTTAAGAGAGAAGTGCTTATAATAATATTGACAGGACTGCATATAGAACTGGCTTGGTGTTGTTTAATGGGAAACCGGGGGCAGAAAAGAACTGAAACTGTTGATGAACTGCCTGCCGATAAGCGAGCCTGTAGCTCCACAGAATTCAGGCCAAGTACCTCTAATTCAGTGGTTCATACTACAATGAGTTCTATACACGAAAGCCGCAATGGCGATGTGGACACATCATCGTCAAGTTCAGGGTCAAGTGAAGGTGGAAAGGACTCTGCTTATGGATCTTGTGAATCTGATAATAGCTTCAGGGACTATTACAGGCGGCAATCGCTGGACAATCAGGGCAAATTCAAAGGAATTTTGTCAAGTTTGAGCAAGGAATTATCTAACGAATCAGCGCTGTTGGCTGCTCTTACCGAGCTATGTGAATTGTTATCTTTTTCTCCTGATAGTTCGATCTCAAACTTAATGGCAGATTCATTTTCTCCCATTCTTGTAAGATTGGCTAGACATGAGAGCAATCCTGATATAATGCTATTAGCTATCAGGGCAATGACTTATTTGTGTGAAATTCATCCTCGTTCTTCGGCCTACCTAGTTAGACATGACGCAGTTCCTGCCCTTTGTCAAAGGTTAATGGCCATTGAGTACTTGGATGTGGCCGAACAGGTGTGCCAAGTGGTTTATCAATAATTTATCTTCTTTGTACTAAAGTAAATAGTAGAAAGCTTTTTAGGTGGATTCCTGTGGTTGATTTTTTCTTCTTCAATATAGTGTTTGCAAGCACTGGAGAAAATTTCCCATGACCAGCCGATTGTGTGTTTGCAATCTGGGGCTATCATGGCTATTTTAAGTTATATTGATTTCTTTTCTACAAGTGTGCAGGTAAAACAATAACATTAAGAATCTGCTATTGATAAACTGATGAATTGAAGGTTGAGAAGTTGATCTTCTTCTCTTTGTTTTTATTTATCTGTTGCAGAGAAAGGCACTCTCAACTGTAGTAAATATTTGTAAAAAGCTTCCCTCTGAATGTCCGTCACCTTTGATGGAGGCGGTTCCCATTTTGTGTAATCTTCTTCTATACGAGGATAGACAGGTATAATTTGTTCCAAGAGCTGTTCCTGTACTGATTCATGTTAAGTATTTAGTGTTACAATTTTATAACATTGAAATGGTTTCTTCATCTTTCAGCTTGTTGAGAGTGTAGCCACTTGCTTAATTAGAATAGTGGAGCAAGTATGTCGCTCTTCCGATATGTTGGATGAACTCTGTAAACACGGTCTGGTTCATCAAGCCACACATCTCATAGAATTGAATTGTCGAACAACAGTTTGCCAATCAGTTTATGTTGTAAGCTGTTGTTTGTTTTAGTTGCAGTCATCAGATATGAATATCCCTTGTCTACATTCTTCATTGTCTTGGTTTAGAAGTAATTTTTTCCCATGTTAGGGTTTAATTGGGTTACTTGTCAAACTGGCTGCTGGATCTATTGTGGCTGTCAGGACTCTCTTTGAACTTAACATCAGCCGCATATCAAAGGACATTTTATCCACTTATGACTTCTCACATGGGGGGCCTTCTACTCTGACGGTTGATGGGCATTATAATCAGGTCTTAGCCTTATATAGTGTCCTTATTCTTTTAATTGTTGATTATTATGTTATTTTAAATGAAATTCTATTTCGCAGCTATACATATGAAAAGGGAATTGTAGCATAGATTTGATCACAAAGAAAAAAAAGAAGCAACAGGGAGTTGTCATGTGAAAGAATTTTTTATTAATCATAGTTCTTGGTATGTTATCTACTTACGTCTAGTAGTCATTAAACCAGTTAAACTTTTGGTTTCTCAAAGATTGTTGGTAACTTTGACCAGATAATTCTCTGTTGCCTGGGAGTTTGAGGAAAGATATCAAAGTAATATTCGTTTGGTCGAGCATGGTTTTTGTGCTTTATCTGTTGACTCATTCACAGGCGCTTGCTCGGATTTTACCTGTCAAGTTGAAAAAGAGGGGGACCAATTAGGTTGCACTGTAGTTTTTGAGTGATATCAATGTCTACTCTTTTATGTGGAAAATAAGTGATCCGTCATGGCTTCATTCTGTTTTAGTATGAACTCATGGATTGCTATTAGAGGAGCTGCTGGGTGTTCTTGTTGGAACAGATAGAATGTGGAAGAGTGATGCTATCATGATGAAAATTTAATATTATTCAAGTGTATGATCTTGGACAACTGCATAGTTAACCAAGTTTATGAAAGCTAAGAGCTATGGTTAGGTTAGGGTTTAAAGGACTGCTTCTTTGTTAGAAAGAGAAGGAAGAAGAGTAGTATGAATTAATAAAAGGGAGTGTAGAGGAATATCCCCATAAATTTGATGTGCAAGTCTTGACTTGCAATCTTGGAGTAGAGGAATACCACCATAAATTTGATATGCAAGTCTTGATTTTTTATCAAGTAACAATGATTTTATTGATACTGGGAAAGCTCCTATATACAAGAGGTATGCCAAAAGTAGAGAATCGGCAGAAAGATATGATTCTCTATGAAAGACATCCATCGTCTATAGAATTAGGAACCTCATGGGTGTACTAAAAAGACATTAAAAACGGGAGGCTATTTCTCAGATGTACAAAATCAAGCTCTTTCCATTCAAAAGGTCTCCTATTTCTCTTCCTCCATACTATGCTAATTGAGAGAATTAGCATTTTATACCTTTTAGTCTTAGATTTTAGGAGAGGGAAATAGGAAAAAGATAATGGTTGAAAGGTGGCTGAAAACCAAAAAGGTAAAATCACTTCAACGTTTGAATAGGAGTCATCCCAGACCCCATTTATGGAAATACACTGGGTTCTTCGTTGTTGTTTGAATAGGAGTCATCTGGATCTTTTCACATAAAAACATTGTAAATCATGCGTCTGATCGCTGAAACAAACAGCTAGCATACAGTGGTGGGATCATCAGGAGTTCAACATTTTGTGCCCCTGCTCAATTTTGATGAAATAGTGCTGAACTTTGTCTGTCAATCAAGTAACTTCTTTTCATTTAGGTTTGTTTAATATCAGCAGATATTAAAAAAATATCAGCAGATGTTCCATTACTTTCTTCCTTTATGGGGTTGTAGCAATTCTACCTATTGGGAAGCATTAATTTGAAGTGTTTCTTGTCTTTTGGTAGCTATATATAAGTTTAGGATGTCAATTATTGAAATGTCAGTGTCTTGGCTCATATCTTGTCAGATGGTTATGTCTCTACATGTGATGACTGCTGAAGCAATAGTGTTCTATTGTCTTCCTCAGGTAGACGAAGTTCTCAAGTTGTTAAACGAACTTCTTCCTCCCATATCCAGAGAGCAGAATATCCAACTAGCTGCAGACAAAGAACACTTCCTCATCAATCACCCTGATCTTCTGCAGAAATTTGGCTTTGATTTATTTCCTGTGTTAATCCAGGTGGTTTCTCTTAGTTGTGGTATCTAAATTAGTTTGCTCTAGTTTTTGTCATTCTTTCTTTAACTAACTTTTTTTTTAATCATCAAACAGGTGGTCAATTCTGGTGTAAATTTATATGCTTGTTACGGCTGTCTATCTGTTATCAATAAGTTAGTTTATTTCAGCAAATCTGACATGCTCGAATTTCTTCAAAATACTAATATTTCAAGGTGAGATGGTTTCATTTACTCCATGCTTTTAGCAAAATCTTAATATCTTCTTTCTATTAGGCTATATTGACTTATCTGTATCTTGCAGCTTCTTAGCTGGAGTTTTTACTCGCAAAGATCCTCATGTTCTGATACTAGCCCTTCAGATTGTTGATAAGCTTCTAGAGAAGCTCTCTCATGTTTTCTTGAACTCATTTGTGAAGGAAGGTGTTCTCTTTGCTGTTGATGCACTTCTTTCACCGGAAAAATGTTCGCAGTTTCTATTTTCAGATGAAACCTGCCAAGGATCAGTACCATGTGCTGCAATAAAATGTCTTTGTTTTGCTTCTGAGTCTCCAACAGGACCCGAAGCAAGGACCTGCAAGATAGAGAAAGAAACTGTTCAAAATCTTGCTAGGCATATCAGGACCAATTACTTTGCAACAGACTCAATGAATCCTGAATTAGGAATAACCGATGTTCTACAGAAGCTGAAGACTCTATCTTCTGCGTTAACTGATCTGGTCCATAAAGCTAGTAGCAGCATTGCTCCTCTTCAAGAGAAAGAAGACTTTTACCCTGTTTTGCATCAAATTATGTCAGAGTTAAACGGAAATGGTGCCGTTTCCACGTTTGAGTTCATTGAAAGTGGAGTTGTAAAGTCTCTCGTGAATTACCTTTCCAATGGCCAATACTTGGGACAAAAGGTAGATGGTGATGGTTCAGTAGATCAGCTGTATATTGTAGAAAAGAGATTTGCGCTGTTTGGTAGATTACTTTTGTATAACTCAGTCTGTCCTCCGGAAGACTCCGCCTTTCTTGCACTGATAAAGAGATTGCACAGTGCACTTTCCTCTGTGGAAAACTTCCCAGTCATCTTGAGTCATGCGTCTAAGCTACGAAACTCGTATGCTACTGTCCCATATGGGCGTTGTACTTCATATCCTTGTCTGAAGGTCCACTTTGTGAAGGGAGACGGGGAGTCGTCACTTGGAGATTATACAGAGGGTGTTGTGAATGTAGATCCTTTTTCGCCTTTGGAAACAATTGAGGGATACTTGTGGCCAAAAGTGAGTAAAAGGAAAAGTGAGAAGTTGAAACCTCCCACTCTGGCTATAGAGGAAGAGTCATCGTCTCGTTCATCACAAGATGCAAGCACGTCTCAAGGCAAAAGTCCAGGACCCATGGAATTGGACACCACATCCACCAATGCCCATGAAACACAGGTTTGTTTATCAAAATTTTATTTGTAATAATTGCTTCTCAATCTGTTACATTTATACCTTTTATTTAATGGTAATGAGCTTCCTTCATTCAAGATTCTTACGGTTTTCTCTCAGGAGGTGAAGGGTAACTTACAACTATCTGTTGAAGTGGAAACTATGGATATAGAAAAAACAAAGAGTGATTCAATGGATATTTCAAATATTAATGCAGTAAGTTTTTTCCTTTGGTAATAGTTTTAACAAGTTATTTCTTATGTACTTTTAGCATGTCCTCAATTTTTTCTTTGCAATGTGTAAGTGATTCTGTATTGTGGTATAAATAGCCGCGGAATCTTATTGGCTATGTCAAATCAACGTACTCTGCATTCTGACATATCCCTGATGTTATGTTCCAATGTTGCCTTGAAGGAGTCTTTGGAGAAAGGAAAACTTTGTTCGTCTGAAGATGATAGTAGCACAAGTTTAGAGTGTACTGGATGTTCTGATGATGAAGATGTTGCACCAAAATTGATATTCTACTTGGAGGGACAGCAGTTGAACCAGAAGTTGACCCTATATCAAACTGTACTCCAGCAGCAGATTAAAGCAGGGAATGACATCATTACTAATTCAAGCATGTGGAGTCACGTACACAGGGTGATCTACAGAAGATTTGTGAGACATAAACCAGGATGTGCTCAGAGTGGCAAACACGTCGTAGATTCTACTCCATCTGAGAAACCTATAACATGGTGGCAGTACACCCCATTTTTCTCTAGCATGTTTGGCTCTGAAATGGTTGATCTTGAGAAATCAAGTCCAACTTATGACATCTTATTTCTTCTGAAAAGCTTGGAAGGCCTGAACAGGTTCAGTTTTCATCTCATGTCTCGTAGGAAAATATACGCTTTTGCAGAAGGGAAGACCACCGATTTTGGTGATATAAAGGTCACAAATTCTGATCTCCCTCAGAATGAATTTGCAAACACTAAATTGACAGAGAAACTAGAACTGCAAATGAGGAATCCTTTTTCTGTTTCCGTAGGTGGCATGCCACCTTGGTGTGGACAGTTGGTTAATTCATGCCCCTTTTTGTTTGGTTTCGAGGCAAGATGCAAGTATTTCCGCCTGGCTGCATTTGGTCAGCCACCAATCCAACCTGAACCGTCATCTCATAATATGGCAGGGGGTATGAGCGGTAGGCATCAAAACAATAGTGGCCTTCGCCGGAAAAAAATCTTAGTTCATCGAAATAGAATTTTGGATTCTGCAACACAGATGATGGACCTCCATGCCGATCAGAAGGTTGTCATTGAGGTGGAATATACTGATGAGGTCGGTACTGGTCTTGGACCAACCTTGGAATTTTTTACCTTGGTCAGTCATGAGTTCCAGAAGATTGGGCTAGGGATGTGGAGAGGTGATCGCATGGCTAGTGGAACCGTGAGTGTAGAGGAGGAATCTGGAATGCTCTTCTCTTCTTTTGGTCTCTTCCCTCGCCCATGGTCCCCTTTATCCCGTTCGTCAAGTGGCCTAGAGTTCTCTGAAGTGCTGAAAAAGTTTGTGCTTCTGGGGCAGATAGTTGCAAAGGCTCTCCAAGATGGCAGGGTTTTGGATCTTCCTTTATCCAAAGCATTTTACAAACTTGTTCTTGGGAGGGTATGCTCCATTTTTAATAGGCCACTATGTTAGTTCTAGTTCGTGAGTTTTCCTTATGTTCTCTTCTTTTTGTAGGAACTCACGGTATATGACATCCAGTCATTTGACCCCGAACTTGGTGGGGCTCTCCTAGAATTTCAGGCTCTTATTGAAAGAAAAAGACATCTGGAATCTGAGGGAAAACCATCATTAGACCTTGAACTTAATTTCCGGAATACGAAAATTGATGATCTTTGCCTTGACTATACTCTTCCTGGATATCCAGATTATGTCTTTAATTCTGCATCCGATGCAAAAATGGTTAGGCACTCTACAAGTTGATGCCTGATATTTTATGAGATTCTAACTGGCTAATCATTGAAGTTGATGACTTGCTTTCTAGGTTGACATGTCTAATTTAGAGGAATATGTTTCACTCATTGTGGATGCTTCTTTAAATTCTGGGATATCAAGACAAATTGGAGCATTCAAGTCAGGCTTTGATCAGGTCTGTGTCAACCAAACGATCTTTAAGTATAATCTCTTCTTGTTATAGATCTGCAACTATAGTTTGCATCAGGGGAAAATCAGTTGAATGATTTGTTAATTACTCTCTGGAAGTGGTAACACCAGAAATTTGTAAGAAATCCCATGTATGTTTTCATCACATTTTAAGATTTGCTGGTCTTTTGAAGTATGTGTCATCCGGCGCATGAACACTAGCAAGCCAGTTAAAGTATTTAGATATTAGCTTTCATGTAACGGAACTATCCAGAAAATTATGTATTTTAAAGATTGTGCAATCTCATCTGCATTTGAAATACTATGACACTGTTTTTTCTTATTGAAATGGCAGCATTTTGGAGCTGCTTCATCAAATTAAATGAGAAAATCAGTTACCCCACATATCTTATATTGCCATAAGATTTGGTTGGATCTGTTCTTATCAGTGTAATATCTAATATGTGGGTCATCAACCCACATGATATTAACTCAATTTTTTAAGGGGGAGTGTCCATTAAGGTAGCTTGCTACTTGGGCTCTCGCGCGTCGCCCATGCATTGCACTACTGCACGGGCCTGGCGCACCCCTCCAAAAAAAGAAAAGAACTCTAAAAGTAGTTCACATGTTACTCATTTTTTTCTTTAAAGTCTTCGCCCTCTCTATAGCAGTCCAATATCAGTCCTCTTAAATGTTGTCTGTTCCTCAGGTGTTCCCCATCAAACATCTTCAAATATTCACAGAGGATGAATTAGAGCGACTGTTGTGCGGAGAGTGTGGATTTTGGAACGTAAGTTTTGCTTCCCAAGCAGCTATTGATATACCTTAAAAGCTCAATTTCCTGTTACATTTTCATTGATTATCATTCTTTTGTGCAGTCCAATGAGCTTCTGGATCACATCAAGTTTGACCACGGGTACACTGCTAGCAGTCCTCCAGTTGTAAATGTTTGTATCATTTCTTATCTTTTCAGATTTTATTCATGGAACCAATTGCTTATTTTGACAATTGATCTCCTGGAAAATTGCAGTTACTCGAAATTATGAGGGAGTTTGACAGCAAACAACAGAGAGCATTCCTGCAGTTTGTGACTGGTGCACCTAGACTGCCCCCAGGGGGTCTGGCATCTCTAAGCCCAAAGTTAACAATTGTTCGGAAGGTCTGTACAATGTAGATTTCCTGAGTGCATAATATAGTCCAATTGACAAGAGGAAGATATTCGTATTATACTTTGTTACTTCCTGCTCTAATGTCAAGCTCTTTTGGTTTGTCGCAGACTTGCAGTGGTTGGGTTGATGCTGACCTGCCTAGTGTGATGACATGTGCCAATTATCTGAAGCTACCACCTTACTCTTCAAAAGTCGAGTCCTTTCTCTTTCACTGCCTTGTGTGAGGTCTCTTTTGTTTAATATTATTTGGCAAAACAAATAACTTTGTTTATTCTCTCTAAATTTTGCAGGAGAAAATGAAGGAAAAACTGTTATATGCCATAACTGAAGGACAAGGCTCATTCTACCTTTCATAGGTTCGCTGTCTTGGTCAATCAGGTACATAGCTTGTGAATATATAGTTCAGAGTAGGTGGCGGCTGGGTAAATTGGTGACATAGGAGAAGAATCACGGTAGCGGGTCGTTGGTTGTGGAGTTGAACAAGGAGCTGATTACTGCTGCTGCACTGACTAAAACTTGGTGGTTGTGTAAATCAATGGTTAAGTAGTATAATAAAGTAGTTAGTCCAGTTCTTAAAGGTGAATTGTACAGTGAAAAGTTCTTGGGGTTTTTTTAAAGCTTGGTTCAGTTAGTTTTTGGTACATATAAACTATGTACAGGAAACAGTTGCAGATTATATATTCCACCTAAGGTCAGTTTGATGGAAGATGAAAGTGAAATAGGTTAATTTGCTCTCTTATTTTGTTTCGTTTCGTTCTTTCCCGTTCTCGAGGTTACACTATGATGGAAGTATATTAGCAATGTATCTCCTGAAATGAACTTGAACCAAATTGCAAGATTTTTATTGCAACTGGTTGGACAAGAAAATTTACTTTGGTCTGAAGGCCAAAACCACAACCAAATAGAAGCTCCCTTCAACACTTCTTATGTAGGAAACTTTACTTGGTTCTGATACTAAACTTAGCTTTCTTTTTACTAACCGTAATAAGTAGTATTGATTTAGAAGGGGAGCCTTGGCGTAATTGGTAAAGTTGCTGGCACGTGACCAGAAGGTTACGGGTTCGAGTAGCGGAAACAACTTCTTGTAGAAATGTAGGGTAAGACTGCGTACAATAAACCCTTCTCCGCACCTCGCACGTAGCGGAAACTTAGTGCACTGGGCTGCCTTTTTTTTTTTAAATAGTTTTGATTTGGTCATATTCATCTTTCTTCCTTCCTTGCTTCCCTCTTCCTCTTCTTGCCCTTCTTGAACTGGGGGTTTATTGGAAACAACCTTTCTACCTGCATTAGATAGGGGTAAGGTCTGCATACAAACTACCTTCCCCAGACCCCACATGTTGGGATCAGACTGGATTTGTTGTTGTTGTTATTGATTTGGTCATAAGAGGATGGATCTAAACTCTTTCATTACCATTGATTTTGTAGTGATTATGGCTTAAAGGAAATGGAGGGTCAAAAATCTTTATTCTGATTCCTCTTTCTTCAATTGGATTCCATCTATTTCCAACAAAACAATTCTGTGACAACTATGGGTACCAAATTATAGAAACTTGACATATGCAATTCTTCAACAGTAACAACATATTTCTTTCAGGGGTTAGAGTTGTCTAATTTGTTACAGAATCGACTTTAGACCGTAAGCCGCATGTACTACCCAAATCGGGAGATCTACGTGGTTTGCCTACTGAAAACGACAGTTAATACCATATACAATTAAAATATGTATTTTTTCCTGTATACCTACTTTTTAAATTTATTTTACCATGTATACTTATTATATGTTTGGTTTGAATACTGTATTCTAAATTAGATTAATATAGTATGTATGGTTTGATATTGTATTCCAAATTAGAATATTATGATATATTTAGTTTGAATATTGTATTCTCCATTAGAATAATACGATATGTTTGGTTTGGATATTGCATTCCAAATTAGAATATTGTAGTATATTTAGTTTGAATATTGTATTCTCCATTAGAATAATACGATATGTTTGGTTTGGATATTGCATTCCAAATTAGAATATTGTAGTATATTTAGTTTGAATATTACATTCCAAATTAGAATATTGTGGTATGTTTGGTTTGGATTGTATTTCAAATTAGAATCGTGTGGTATGTTTGGTTTGAATTGTATTTCAAATTAGAATCTTGTGGTATGTTTCAGAATATTTGGAAGATTTGGAGGTATAGAGTAATATTTTTGGAATATTTGATGTAATTTCAAAGCTTAGATATATCATGAAAGTGAGTCTTACAAATAAATATATTATAAAACTTTCCCCAAAACATTCCTTCTACTTCTCCCGTAGTGTTTCAACATAATCAATTAAAAATTTGATTAAACGAATAAAATCATAAAAAAATATTTAATTAAAATGTATCTTACATTCCTTCTCCAATAATTTTTCAACATAATCAATTAAAATTTTGATTAAGCGAATAAAATCATAAAGAAATATTTAACTAAAATATAGCTCTTACTTTATATCACATCCATTTGATCCATGAAATTTTACTTTGTTGTGGTTTCTAAGAAATGTAAAATAAAAAAGAAATAGAAATATACTTCCCTGTATCATGCATGAACGCGAGATACTTTGTGAATCGAGCTGTCTTTTTTGCTTGTAAAAGAGTTCCAACGAACTGTTTCTTATTTATTCTTACATCACGTAGGCCACACTTTCATTTATAGCCTGTATGGCCAAATTGGAAAAATCTGCTTATTTTGAGAAGTATTTTTCTTAAAAGTGCTTTTAAAAAAAGTACTTTTAGTGAGAAGCAATTTGTATTTGGATAATTAATTTGAAAAATATTTTTGAGCAGCAATTAATATTTGAACAAGCTGTTAAAAGGTGTTTCTAAGTGTATTTTTCTCAAAAGTGTTTATGGGGAGAAGCTACTTTTTTCTACTTCTCAAAAACTATTTCTATTTCTACTCAAGTATTTTTTTTTTTCCTTCAAAAAGCTTGGTTAAACACGTTAACTTTGAAGAAAAAAAATATTTTTGACAAAAAAAGTAGTTTTGGCGAAGAAAAAAGCTTAGACCAAATATGCTAGTAGTCGACCTTGATAGTCCAAACAAGTGTCATAATCTAGACAAACTCCAGTTAAAAAAGTATCCTTTTTTTAATAGAAACTTGTAAGAAAAGAAATCAAGAAAAGGAGGAAAGTACAAGAGCCACCCAATAAATGATTGCCAAAACAAGAGGAAGGGAATATCCTGACGTAGTTCATCCCTTCTCCACCCAAAAACCCCTTTTAACCCCTCAAAAAATAAAACAAATATCTCACACCACCTTATCACCATTCCCCCAATTTTAAACACTGCTCCTTCCCCCTTTCTCCTCTTCTTTCCCAAATGTTCAAGAATTCATGACAACTCTACTACCCCCCACCCCCCCTTCACCCTCCCCCACTTCACCATCTTCTCCATTTCCTTTCTCCCACAAAAATCTTTCTTTCCACTTTACTTGTAAAGCTACAAGCTCATTTCGACCACAACCAACTTCAAATTCCTCAAACCCCACTTCCTTAATACCTTCCAAGAACTCATTTTTATCTTCCCCTGATAATACCCTTTTGACCCTTCTACAGCAAAGGAAAACTGATGAAGCTTGGTTATACTACACCAAGAATCTTGATCAACAACAACTACCTAACCCCACTTGCCTTAGCCGTTTAGTTTCTCAATTATCTTATCAAAATTCCACTGTCAGTCTCCGCCGTGCTCAGTCCATTATCCAACGCCTCCGCCACGAGCGGCAGCTCCACCGTCTTGATGCTAATTCCCTTGGTCTTCTTGCTAGTGCTGCAGCTAAAGGTGGACATGTTCTTTATGCATCTTCTATTGTTAAGTCTATGTTAAAATCAGGTTATCTTCCGCATGTTAAAGCTTGGAGTTCTGTTGTTAGTAAACTTGCTTCTTTAGGTGATGATAGTCCAATGGAAGCTATAAAGATTTTTAGTGCTGTTACTAAAAGGGTTAGAAGGTTTTCTGATCCTGCCGTTGTTAAGTTGTCGAAGCCGGATACGGCTGCGTATAATGCTGTGTTAAATGCTTGTGCTAATATTGGTGATAAAAATAGGTTCTTGGAGTTATTTGATGAGATGAATGAGTTTGATTGTGAGCCTGATGTTTTGACTTACAATGTGATGATTAAGCTTTGTGCAAGAGCTGATAGGAAGGATTTGCTTGTGTTTGTATTGGAAAGGATAGTTGAGAAGGGAATTCCATTGTGTATGTCGACGTTTCAGTCTCTAGTTGCTGCGTATGTTGGTTTTGGTGATTTGGTAACTGCTGAAAAAGTGGTTCAAGCAATGAGGGAAGGGAGGAGGGATCTTTGCAAGATTCTAAGAGAGGCCAATGAGGAAAAGCCGTGTTTGAGTGACACAGATGTGTTTGAAAAGTTGCTTCCGAATTCTGTTAGTTCAAGAGATAATGAGCCACTGGAGTTGTCTCGAGTATTTGAACCGAATTCTAGGATGTATACGACTTTAATGAAAGGTTATATGAATGCAGGCCGTGTTACAGATATGGTGAGGATGCTCGAGGCTATGAGGCATTTAGGCGATAGTGAGAGCCACCCGGACCATGTCACTTACACAACGGTTATTACTGCGTTTGTGAAGCAAGGTTCAATGGATAGGGCACGGGAGGTACTCGCCGAGATGGCCAGAATTGGCGTGCCTGCTAATAGAGTCACTTATAATGTTCTAATCAAGGGATATTGCCAGCAACTGCAGATTGACAAAGCTGAAGAGCTGATTAAGGAGATGTTTGATACTGGAATAGAGCCTGATGTGGTTTCCTATAACACAATTATTGATGGATGTATATTGGTCGATGATAGTGCAGGAGCTCTCTCTTACTTCAATGAGATGCGAGCGAGAGGTATTGCTCCGACCAAAGTAAGTTACACCACTTTGATGAAAGCCTTTGCTTCGTCTGGTCAGACGAAGCTAGCTAATAAGGTATTTGACGAGATGCTTAAAGACCCTCGAGTTAAGGTTGATTTGGTCGCTTGGAACATGTTGGTTGATGTATACTCTAAGCTTGGAAAGGTTGAGGAAGCAAAGAGTGTGATTGAGAGGATGAAAGAAAACGGAATCTACCCGAATGTGGCTACTTATGGGAGTCTTGCAAATGGAATTGCTTTGGCTAGGAAGCCGGGGGAAGCGCTTTTGCTTTGGAATGAGATAAGGCAGAGGTGCGGGATGGGAACAGGAGAGGAGTCTAATCCTTCTTCAGGTCTTCCACCATTGGAACCTGATGAAGGACTGTTAGATACTTTGGCAGATATATGTGTTAGGGCAGCTTTCTTCAAGAAAGCTTTGGAGATTGTTGCCTGCATGGAGCAACATGGGATACCACCAAATAAGACTAAGTTTACTAGGATCTACGTTGAGATGCACTCGAGGATGTTTACCAGCAAGCATGCATCGCAATCTAGACAGGACAGGAGAAAGGAGCGAAAACGAGCAGCTGAGGCGTTCAAGTTCTGGTTGGGATTGCCCAACTCCTATTATGGAAGTGAGTGGCGTCTTGATTCAGTAATTGACGAAGAATATGGATCGGAGTAAGTGAAGGTGAAATGGATCAGCTTATAGAACATAGATATTATACTTGAATATAGATCTGAAAGTTTGTTATGTTTATACATTTGAATAATCTGATACAGCTTTCTACTCAATTCTAGTATAGTTGGAAAGCAGGACTTTAATGTGATGAAGCCCT